CAAGAAAGGGATGGATGCCTTAAGAGAGGACAGGCACACAGGCGGTCCTTATTTTATGAAAAAGGAAATTACCCACAGAACCTTTAGCCAGAATTCTATCTGGGCTGAACCTCTGATGAATTTACCCAAATCTTCATTCTTACATGCTCACCTGCATCAAAACCGCAGGAAGGGTAAACAAAAACTTGTCCAAGTTTGTTCCGTTTCCCAGAGAAGCAGGCTTTCCCCTGCTGCCTGGCCCTTCTGCTAGCTCCTCGTGTAACTAGCTACGTGCGTGGCAGAGCCATATTAATCATGATAAGCTGTTCATGCAGAGGCTTTTCCCTTCCTGTCCGTGTTACCACCCGCATTTCTGTTGAGTTGAGTGTTTTCAAAGTCTCTCTTGGATTGGAGTGGTGGAACGTGGTATTGAGAACATCTCCTTACCCTTCAAACTGGTCTCCACTCTTCACTCCCAGACATGTCTGATTATGTTCAAGGTTGTTGCTAAGCCTCGTACAATGGTCATTTGGGAAGAAATCCAAAGAATGTCACAGATTCAGTTTGTCTGATGAAGGAAGAGGAAGGCCCCCCTCTGAGCAATGAGTTTCCTCCAGAAACAGCCCACCTCTTGGATTCAGGTGCTTCCCGTGATTTTAAAGTACTTAGTTCCTTGCAAATGATACGAAAGGACAAAAGTTTCAAGGTGTGGGATCACCATGGCAACGACTCAAATTCCCTGCCTTGCCCAGGCTTCAGAATGAGAGGAACTGGTCATGGCATTCCTCTGAAACTGGCCAAAGCCTCAAGACCTGCCGGGTCGCCCATTCGGGGCCAAGAATGCGAATTTTTGCCTCTCCCAGGGCAAAGCGTCCTGTTCTGTGGGTGCGGCGGGTGACACGGTGACCCCCCTGGAAATGTATGTCCCTGGAACCTGTGACTATGACCTCACTTGGAAAAACGGTCTTTGCCTATGTAATTAAGGATCTCATCATGAGATTGTCCTGGACTGAGGGTGGGCCCTAAATCCAAAGTTGGGTGTTCTTACAAGAAAACGCAGAGGAAGATTTGAAGAATGGACACACAGGGCAGAGTCCATGTGAAGACAGATGCCGAGGTTGGAACAACCTCAAGGTTGTTGTCTGCAAGCCCAGGGATGCCAGGGGCCACCAGAGGCTGGAAGAGGCAGGAAGGTTCTAGAGCCTGGAGCCTCCACAGGGAGCATGGTTCTGCTGAGACCCACACTGGAGACTTCTGGCCTCTGGAACTGTGAGAGATTACATTTCGGTTCTTTAAGCCCTTTGTTACCGCGGCCACGGGCAACTCGTATCATGGGTGACTTCTGCTCCCCCCATCCCATGCCTTTCTGTGCTTGAGTTGTAGCCAAAAGCCCTTTACCATTGACCGGAGAGCACACTTTCTGCATAAGAAAAGAAAAAGGGAAAGCAGATTTGGGGTGGAATGCGCAGCCATCCAGGTCATCAGAACCCACCCTGGGGTCTGTGGGTCCCGCCTGGGCTACAGGTGCTCATCCTGGGCACCCCGAGAGAGTGCCACTGTCCCGAACAAAAACTCTAGGTCCGGCACCTTGGCCTGTGCTGTCTTTCCATCTGCCACAGGCTCACTGGAAAGCTCGGATCCATGCTGCTACTCTTTTCTCACTCTGGTCAGATTCCCCGTTCTATGGCATCATGAATGGTTTCCATGGAAATGAAAGGTTGAGATAGAATGGTGCCAACGTGCCTCTGAACTTCAGAATTAAACAAGGGCTATTGTTTCTGCCAGCCGTGGGGTTTCATTCATTCTGAAGATGTCATGGGGCGTTTGGAATGTGTGTCCCTAACTTCCTGATTTTCTGCCATATTCCAGCCCACATGACTAATGAAACGTGGAGCGACATGGGAACACCTCGGATCTCCACATACTTCACTCTTCAGACTCTCTCCTAGCTTTGCCTGTGTGTGGAAATGTCAACAAGGAAGGTGAGATTTGCTGTAAATAACCAGATGGTCCTCACGGGGTAGGCTGCAGGTGAGGTGGAAATCCTAGCAGGAGACATCACAGCCAAAACTTTGCCAACCGAAACTCACCTCTGGTTTAGTGCATCAGAACCAGCACACAGAACCGGCACACAGAAGGGGAAGGCAGACCCAGGGCAGTGGGCTGGCCCTCATGACCTGGAGGACAGGGGCTGTGAGTCCACACCTGCTTCCCATCTGACTTCTCCAAGGGTCAGTCTCAGGGAGAAGCAGACCATAACCAGTCCTCTAACTGGCTCCTGGTAACTGATGTGCCTGGGTGGAGGAGCCCTGGTATGCTGGAGCTGTGCACCCTCGCCTTACTGTAGGAGACATCACCTGGTGACTCTTACTTCAGAGTAGGTGGGGTGACTATATATCTATATCTCTCTATATATTTAAAGATTTATTTATTTATTTGAGAGAGAGAGAGCACACAGAGACAGAGGGGAAAGCAGACCCCCCCACCAAGCAGGGAGCCTGACACGGGGCTTGATCCCAGGACCCTGGGATCATGACCTGAGCTGAAGGCAGTTGCTTAACTGACTGAGCCACCCAGGTGCCCCTGGATTTTATTTAGTTTTCATTCATATAAATTTAAATGCCCACATCTGGCTAGTGGCTATTGTATTGCACGGTGCAGACCTAGATAGTTTCAGCCAGTTTCATGGCTCTGAGGTTCTGACTCCCAAATTTGTCCAACCACCCCAACCTCTCCCCTAACGTCCAGACCCATATATATCCAATTTGATGTATATACCTATATGTCTAATAGGCATTTCAAACTTAACATAGTCAAAACTCACCTTCTGATCATAATATGATACCACTTTGAACGCATTAGTGTCGCTATTCAAAACAAACAAACTGAAAGTAGCAGGTGTTGGCAAGGATGTGGAAAAATTGGAACACCGGGCACCTGCCCGTGGGAACATAAAATGGCACAGCTGCTAAGGAAAATGATAGGGCAGTTCCTCAAAAACTTAAACAGGATTACCATATAATTGAGGATTCTACTCCCAGGTATATATCGTGAAGAACCGGAAGCGGGCACTCAGACATTTGGACACCCCTGTTCTTAGCAGCGTTATTCACGATGGTTGAGAGGTGGGAACAGCCCAAGTGTCCATCAGCAGCCGAATGGATAGACAAGAGGTGGTCCATGCACACATGGAGTATGATTCAGCCTTAAAAAAGGAGCGAATTTTGACATGCAACCATGGGGATGAGCCTTGAAGTCCCTCCATCATGCTAAGTGGAATCAGCCAGTCACAAAAGAACAAGGATTGTGAGATCCCACTTATGTGAGGTTCCTAGAGAGGTCAACTTCTAGACACAGCAGGATGGTGACTGCCAGGACCTGGGGAGCAGCGGAGTGTTCAAGGAGTCTGGAGGATCACCTGGGGGACGATGTAGAAGTTCTGGAGGTAGATGGTGGTGTTGTGGCACCACAAGGAACGTATTAGGTGCCACAGAGCTGTAGAGTTAAAGATGGTCGAAAGGGTAAATTTTGTTACATAAAAAACCAGACTCTGCTGCCATTTCCTTCAAACCCGCTCCTTTTCTGCAGACTTTTCATCTCACTTAATACCAACTCGATTTTTCCATTTGTTGAATCTAAAGACTTCTTTCTCTTACAGCCCACATTCGGCACACCTGGGCATCTCAGCCCTCCCTTCAAATACATGCATTCAGAGCCTCCCCGTGTGTCACATCACCCAGCATGCTGGGCCCTGGATCACCCCTCCACACACATGCCCATGGACTTCTCAGGTCACCTGGAGCCACAGCACGTCTTGCCCTGATCCGAAGGGCCTGCGTTATCTGTCCTGCTGTACAGGCCCCCTCCTTTTCCTCAGGAATGTTCTTGCCTGCTGTTCTCTCTGCCCGCAGTGCCCTTTGCCCCAAATCTGCATGGCTCGGCCCCAACCCCCACCTTCTTAGGTGTGCACCCCTATCTCAGCGGGCCCTTCCCAGGTCACTGTGTCAAAGCTTTCAGTACCCCTTCCCCTCCCCCCACTTCACCCTCCCCCCCACACACCCTTCCTATCCTTCTTGCTTGGTTTTGTCTTTTTCTTATTCACATTCATCAATAGCTAACATATTATATATTTTATTCATCTTGTTTATTTTCAGCCTCCCCACTAAAATGTATGATGTTTAAGGCAGGGGTTTTAAAATCTCTTTTGTTCTCTGCTTCCCCGACCGCCCCCCCATGCCCAGATCGGCACCCAACATACAGCTGGCACTCAATAGATATTTGTTAAATTAATGAAGGAATCCGGACGGTGAGGGAATTGCTCAGGACCCGTCTCTTTCAGGGACTCTTCTTTGACTTACATGAACACCCTAATCTGTTCAGTTGTTCAGTCAACGTGAAGCACCTTCATAAGCTCGGTTTACTTTTCATTTCTAAGTCCGTGGTTCTCAGGGCGATGGTGCCCCCTCAGGGGACATTTATCAGGAGACATTTTTATTTTATTTATTTATTTAATTTGTTTATTTTTATTTTTTTAAAGTAAACTCCACACCCAGCATGGAGCCCAACACGGGGCTAGAACTCATGACCCTGAGATCAAGACCCAGGCTGAGATCAAGAGTCGGATGCTTAACCGACTGAGCCACCCAGGCGCCCATCAGGAGACATTTTTGGTTGTTGCAAGGGGCAGGAGGTGTGTCCCTGTCCCTCTAGTTGGCTAGCTAGGACTCAGGACAGCTCCCCACAACAAAGAATTAGCCCGACACAATGTCACTTGTGCCGAGGTGGAGAACCCCTCATTCAACTTAATCCATATGGGTTGCTATCTAGGCTGCATGTAATGAGAGGGGAATTCCTTTCGGGCTGTTTTAGGCTGAACTGTGTCCTTCAAAAAAGATATATTGGATTTACTTCACAACGTGACCTTATTTGGAAATTGGGTCTTTGCGGAGCAAGCTGAGATGAGGTCATTAGGGTGGGTCCTAATCCAGTGTGACTCGTGTCCTTGTAAAGAAGGGAAATCTGGACGTAGACACACACCCAGGGAAGACCCAGTGAAGACAGAGGGAGGGATGGCCGTCCCACTGGGGCCATCAAGGCTCCAAACTGGCTTCAAGTCCAGGGGCAGAAGGACTTCTGTCCACCACTGAAGCTGGAAGCCGCAGGGAAGGGTCGTCTCCCCTCAGGTCCTCAGGTAGAGCTCCCGCCTGCCCACACCTTGGCCTCCAGACTGTGAGAGAGCTGTTGTTTTTTTTTTTTGAAGATTTTATTTATTTATCTGTCAGAGAGAGAGCAAAGCAGGGAGAGCGGCAGGCAGAGGGAGAAGCAGGCTCCCCGCCGAGCAAGGAGCCCGATGAGGGGCTCGATCCCAGGACCCTGGGATCACGACCTGAGCCGAAGGCAGACGCTCAACCAACTGAGCCACCCAGGTGTCCCGTGACTGTGAGAGAGTTTTAAACCACCTGGTTTTTGGCACTTTGTTAGGGCAGCCGCAGGAAACTAAAACAAGTGCAGAGCCAGTGCTAAATCCAAACTTGATACTAATGGGGTTAATAACCCTGTGACAATTAAATTAGTGTCTGGAAAAAATGAAAGATTTCACCAGGATGGTGGTTAGAGTCTCATCTGAGAAGAGAGACAAGAATATTTAGTCTTTTGGGTATTATGAAACTCATGACCTAGAGTCGGCCAAGAGCACTTGGATAATAGATGTTCAAAGCCACCAGTCGCCAAAGCCTTTCATGGGAAAATTACCCCAGCACAAAGTGCTTTTTGCTAATATTAACTTTGGTTCTATTTCAGATCAATGGAGGCAAAAAACCAGGAGATCCCATAAATCCTGTTGAGCCTGTCACAGCTGCCAAATTATGCCCTGATAAAGCTTTTGGTGGCTAATGATATGGCCGTTCACCCGGCGTGGATGCGACTGGGAGGGGGCTTTCTGGAGAGCATCTGGCCTGAGGTGGAGACACTTGTCATAGAGTGTTACCTGAAGGCTCTTTGGCTCTAACGAAGGGTGAAGATTTGAACGTGATTATTTCTAAATAAATAAATAATAAGGATAATTTAAAAATAAACAAAGATCTGGATTTAAAGGCTACATATTGTCCCCAGACCAAGATTAACGGTGAGTGGCAAGTTTTCGTGAGAGATAATGTCTTTTCACATATAAAAGATCCTATTGATTTCCTGTTGGTATTATTTGGAAAATGTGCACTGTGTATCTATGGAGCAGAGACAATCTTCCATCACTTGCTTTATGGGATGAGAATGGTTATTGTATCTCTTCCCATAAAATATAATCTCTTTTCCTCTTCCAAAAAAAAATCTACCTGTTCCTCTGGGAATTTCCAGCTGTAATCTGGGGAAGTGGATTGATTTTTTTTTTTCTTTTGCATGTGCCAGTATTTTTATATTGGGCTTCTTTACATTTTCTCCTTGTTCTCTGGAGTCTGGCTTTTCTAGATTGTTATTTGAGCCCGTCTAAAAATTCCTTTAAAATCAGTGCCATTGAAACACACACCTGATGCTGGATGTCAGGTTCCCTGTGACTTGCTTAGGAGGAGTGCCCCTCCCTTATCCTCCAACCTGGGGCTGGTGTGAGCGCCTAGGAGGGCTTTGGAGGCAACGACAGGTTGCCTGGCGTGTTGGAACAGGATAAAAATGCAAAAAACCAAATCACCGAAGGAAGGAAATATTCTTTCTGAGGATTGGGGTTCTCAGCATTACCTCTGGGCATTTCTTCAGGATCAATGAAGATACAAGGGCAAAGTCCTTCATATTTAAATATCGTGCTCTGAGCAGCGGCTTCCCAAGCTAATGAGTTTGGCCATTGGCCATGGCCACGGGGAGGTGGGCAAACTGTAGCTCCAAGCTGGAAAGCCGGTCCCGTGGCTCTGTCTTCACCTCTTTATTAACACGGACCCTCCCTCAATTCTCCTAGCCCAAACCTACCCACTCTTCCAGGTGCAATCCCTCCACAGCCCCCCACCACACTTCCTGCCCTCTACTCTGGTTTTTCTCTCTTCCCCAAAGCCCCGTGGTATCCTGGATGGCACCATCCCAGCCAGCACTGGATTATGACCACCTCTCATTCTCTCTGTATATGTGTGCTATTCTCCAGCACTACCGTGGGCCTACTCTTCATGCTTTGCTCCCCTTTCTCTCCCTCCACTTCTGTGCTATGCCTGGAGCCCACGTGTTTATTCTGCACTATTGCTAGATGATTTTTTTTTTAAAGCCTAAAAAAGAGTATATATATATATATATATATATATGTATATATATATAGTGTGTGTGTGTGTGTGTGTGCGTGTGTGTGTGTTATAGGCTGAAATGTGTCCCCCCAAATTCACACATTGAGCTCCTAACCCCCAGCACCTCAGAATGTGACTGTATTTGGAGAGGGGCTTTAAAAGGGTGGTTAAGTCAAAATGAGGTCATTAGGGTGGGCCCTGATCCAACAGGCCTGGGGTCCTTATAAGGAGAGGAGGTGAGACTCACCCAGACGCACAGAGGGACCACCACGTGAGGACACAGGGAGAAGGTGGCCAGCCATGAGCCAAGCAGAGAGGCCTCAGAAGGAATCAACCTGCCAACACTTTGCTCTCAGACATCCAGCTTCCAGAACAGTGAGGATATAGTATCCTGTCCGTGGCACTTCGTTACGGGAGCCTTAGAGAACTAGTCCAATCAACTGGTCACAGAGCCTAGTGACACAGGACAAGGCCAAATTTCTTAGCTTTGGTATTCAAGACCCTTTATGTCCTCATCTCACCTCACATTTCCAATCTGTCTCCTTCCTTCCTATTGTATCCCTCGGGGCACCCTCTCTGGGTGACCCCCAGGCTCCTCCTGCCCAGATTCCCTCCCATCCCTGCCCCTTGTCCTCAGGGCATTCTCTTCCCAGACAGCTCTCCTCTTCCCCCAGATGCAGATCCAAACCAAGGCCAACCCAAGCCCAAGTCCTCCCAAAGCTTCAGCGATAATCCATTAACTAGGCAAGAATCAGGTTTATTGTGGTTTACTGTGGACCATGCTGTGTTTTGCGAACTGTGCTCCCTGGATCCCCCTCAGGGGCTACCATGTGTAATGGGGGATGCAGCAACAGAAAAGGGTCAGCCCCTCCTAGCCATCCACCAAGCAGAGAGCTGCCAGACTTTTTTCTGTGTGATTTGTTTGCCTTTCCACATGTTATTTAAAAAAGGGTTCTGTGGTGCTGGAGAGCGCCACCGAAAATCCTATCCTGGATGGAATGACAACAAAATGTCCGAAAAAGTCATACAAAGCTAATGGTCCTTGCTCAGGAAACACTTAGGCTAAACAAAGCCCGTAACACTTTTATCTAGATTTCCTAGAATTATACTCATTGCAAGGGATAAACTCAATTATCAAAACTCATTGACTCCGAAAGTGTAACTTCAGTATACTACTGCCCATTCCAATTCATCAGACAAACAGCTGTTACACTGTTAATGTAATCATGACTTGCCTGGTTATTAATCTATTTTCTAAGTATGAAAGGATGGCTGTTTGGGTTCTCTGATACAGATATGGACATTTGCCAGGTCACATCTGGCCAGGGGGTTTGTTGAACAATGACTTCATGAAGAACTCAATTCCTGTCCCCTTCGGCTGACCTTAGGGCTGTCTTCTCAGGCTCGCTTTTTCTCTATTGTAATCTAAAAATTAAATTTCAGTCTTTATGATTTATGCAGTGCTATTTCTTTCAGATTTTAACAGCACATCTTGTATGTTAGGGAGGTCTCAATGAGGCAAGGAGGGGGAAAGTCTGTAATTACGTCCCTCGCAGAATTAAGCTAATGTCCCTCTCCAAAGTTTGGAGGACATTTCCTTGGACCTTTTTGTTTCAGAGTTCTGGCCAGAAGATTTCCCACCCGTAGGACTTAATGCTTTCTTCAACCAGCCTTTCAGTATCAAATACCAAATAGCCACCTGTGAACGTACAGTGGGTGTACTGAATGCCCATGGGATAAATGAATCAGGAACGTGTGGCTAAATCTTCCCCGTAGAAATATGCAAGTTCTTCCTCATTCCCTGTCCCCCGCCCCCCAACCTGCCAACACATACCCCAGCTCTTGAGTCTCAGATCCCTGGGTATTTTCAGAGAGAAAGGCCAAGTCCCTTGGAATCAAGGTGAGTTTATTTGTTCTGACGCAGATGGATGTTCTGTTGAGACGTGAACCTTCTTCCTTCCCTCTCCTCTGCTTTTTCTCATAAAATTCCATAACTAGATTCGTAAGTCAGTATCATCCATCTGATTACTCTGTTTCATCAGAGATTCCTATGTCATAGATCTCCTATGTTTCTGATCAGTTGCCATGGATATGGTTTCGGTTATCAGGGTTCTCAGTGCCACAAGCTGTACTTTGTGGGCTTCACCCACTGTAAGGACTAATCTGGGCAAAGCTCTCAGGATAAACCTTGGTTATTTGTTTGTTTTTAATTCCTTTTCATGGAAGTAGAAGGATTACAGATCCAGGGGAAACAGTAGGGGAGGGGAACTGAAGAATTTGGCCATATGCTTGTTTATTATCCAACATTTGCATCTCGTCCTCACTCAGAGCACACATTCCGAACGTGGTTGAAGCTTTGGGGACACTTCCCTTGGAGATGGCGGAGTTTGGGGACGTTTTAATCATTTCCTTCCTCTCCCGGTCATGCTCATCACACCACAGCATAATTACTTGTTTACCTGTCTGCTTCCTCCCCTCCCCCAAGGCTACACCCTGAGGTCCTTGAGAGCGCCTCCCCTCCCCCCGCTCATCACCGCATCCCCAGATCCTGGTGGAGTGCCTCGGCTCCTAGTTCTGAGTATGTGTTGAATGAATGAAGGGCTCTTTTCTTGTATGTTTCTCCTCTTAGCTGAAAAGTGCAGTTAAATCTAAGATCCCTTGAGACTGGGTTCCTCTGGTTGTGAGAAAAACCTGCTGAGAGAACAGGGGAGAATAGCAAGGGGTACCTGCAAAGCTCGTAGATTTAGGGCCGCTCTGGATGCAGGGCTGCCCTCGGGCGCTTGGGAGCAGGAGTTTGTGGGTTTCATTCTGCCCATCATTCGGGGAGGCTACTTCCTCCATTCCCCGCTCTCCTGCTTCTTGCCTTTCACTCAACATCTCTGCTCTATGGCTTCTGCTGTCCCCGCTTCCCGCTCACGATTTCAGTTGCACAAGACCCACTGTGGCCTCTCGGACTTCTTTTTATCTTGGAATGTTGAAATTGAAACTGCAATTTTGAACATTAACTTAGTCCCCCTTCTCTTTTGCTCCCATAAGTTTCTTCCTTCAAATGCCCCGAGCAACAATCTGGTCCAACCCATCTTTCTACACAGGGCAATACATAACCAATGGATGGTTGGTCGTCAGGTGAGGGTACCCTTGTCCCAAACAAGTATGGCTAGAGGTCAATGTCATGTGCTAGAAAACAGGGCTGCTCATGACAGCTTTCCCCAAGCGATACGGGCAGCACTGGTGTAGTCACGTGGATTTGTCTCTACAACACCCAGCATTGTGGAGCAGCAATGTGACGCAGGGGCTGAACCTCAGCTGGGTGGGGAAGGGGCTGCTGAAGCCAATCAAGGTAATTTTACCTCCCCCGTTCTTAGATTCTCAAAGAATCCACGGTTGGGTCAGTGCACAGCCTTGTTGTGAGCCGTTGGTGGGGCCAGAGCTGCATCCATTTTTGTTTCCATCCTGAGGATGATGTCATTGCCCAAGAGGGCAGAACCCAGAGCAAGGTGGGGAAACTGAGCCAGAGCTAGCGGATTAGGTAGGTCCCAAAGCCCAAGCTTTCTCTTGACTTTTAGTCATGTGATCCGATACATTTCCTTGCTGAGGAAGCCAATTTGCTTTGGGTGCTTGTACTTTGCGGCTAAAAGCACGCGGTGGAGGGATAAGGGGTAGGAGGTAGGGGTGGTTGGGGGAGTCTTGGGGCATGGGAGATAATGGGTCATACATATGCCTCAAATGGTTAATTCTGAATCTCAGCGGGAGCTGGGCCACTTTCACAGGTGGCTGACCGGGGCAATCACGCAGGGTCCTGTGCTTGGCTTAATGCTCTGTGGTTGCTGTCTTGAAATTCCTAAACATTTTAAAATGGAGGTCTGCGTTTTCATCTTGCACCAGCCCCACAAATTATATAGCCAGTTCCAGGCAGGTGATACAATATATGGAAATGCAGTTGTGAACTGTAAAGCACTATACAAAACATTCCTTTTGTTATTTATAATCCTCCTGTCCTTCCTCCCAGGGACCAACACTACTGTGTGGACCCCCTATGTGCAGTCACTGGTCTTCCCGCCAGGAAACCTCCTGTTCACACAATCCAATGGTCTGCTGCCAGACCCCCAATAACCTGCATAGGCAGTAGGTGGGCTCAGACCCTCCGAGCTTCCATGGGAATATGGAGAGAAAGGTGGAGAATCATTGCTGATAGAAATTTCTTTTCCATTTCTAGGAATTTGGGGAAGCACATGGCCAAACTGAAACTAATTGTTTAACTGCTAAACAAGCAAGCAAAGCAAACACACACACACACACACACACACACACACACACACACACTCTACTAGGTTTGCTAAGATCCCCATTAAATCTGTGTGCAATCTTCCTCTGCCCTTCAGTGACCTGTGTTGGACCCAGGGGCCAAACCGTTCTACCTTCACCCTTGGTGTGTGCACACACGCGTGTGCACTCATGACTTTCAGACAGAAGGAATGGCTGTCTGGCTCAGCTTTGTCCTTTCATCTTGCTGATATTGTTACTGAGTGTTACTTTGGAGATAATTAATGTGTCCCATTTTAGTGCAAAAATATACCTTGTCTCAGGTCACATGACAAATGTAACCATAAAAAGTTTAAAATGCTATTATTTAAAATTTATTTTCTCATAAAAAATGGTTCCTGCAATGATCATAATTTGAATAACTTACTCCATAGTTATGATCCATCACGGCCTGGCCCGGGTCCAGGTTTGGTAATCTGGGAGCCGCGTGAGATCCCAGTCGGGAGTTAGGACTGCGATGACCGTGGTCTCGATTGGCAATTGGTTCCTGGGAGGCTCAGTTCTGTGTCTGCCCCATTTTGCATCCGCCTGAAACTCAGGCTGCACATTATCCATTTTACACTCCTTCCTCGCCCCCTCTAAAATGGCATTTCTTTGTGAAATTACTGTGGAGGTATAGAGATTTTTTAAAAAGTGGACTTTACTCCTTAGATAAGAAGTGCATGATGCTGGCTAGAATCGTCAGGACTAATGACCCCTTTGTGCTTCATCAGTGATTCTAAAGTCTTCGCTTTGGGGATCCCCCTCCCCCAAAATTGTCTGACCTCTGGGCATCGGAAGTGCTTGGAAGCAGGATTCCATGGTCATCATTTAGTAATATCTGGGGCTTGAATGCCTGTGTCACACTCCCCGACTGACCCATTTGGGTCAGTGTGTACCCTCTCTGCAGTGACACACTTCCCCTAGTGGTTAGTGGGTTTCTGTACCTCCCAAACCCACAGGGGTCCT